TATAAATAAAGTTAGTTTAGTTTAAGTTTCCTCCTGTAGTAACACTGGATCAATAAGAGATGATCCTTACTGGACCTCTAGGAAGAACAGTTTAGAACTGATAGAGCTATCCAGTATAAATAAGTTAGTTTAGTTTAGGTTTCCTCCTGTAGTAACACTGGATCAATAAGAGATGATCCTTACTGGACCTCTAGGGAGAACAGTTTAGAACTGATAGAGCTATCCAGTATAAATAAAGTTAGTTTAGTTTAGGTTCCCTCCTGTAGTAACACTGGATCAATAAGAGATGATCCTTACTGGACCTCTAGGGAGAACAGTTTAGAACTGATAGAGCTATCCAGTATAAATAAAGTTAGTTTAGTTTAGGTTTCCTCCTATAGTAACACTGGATCAATAAGAGATGATCCTTACTGGACCTCTAGGGAGAACAGTTTAGAACTGATAGTGCTATCCAGTATAAATAAAGTTAGTTTAGTTTAGGTTTCCTCCTGTAGTAACACTGGATCAGTAAGAGATGATCCTTTCTGGACTTCCAGCTAGGAGAACAGTTTAGAACTGTAAAGCTCAGTATCCAGTATAAACAAAGTTAGTTTAGTTTAGGTTTCCTCCCGTAGTAACACTGGATCAATAAGAGGTGATCCTTATACTGGACCTCTAGGGAGAACAATTTACAACTGATAGAGCTATATGTTTAGTTATAGGTTTCTCCTGTAGTAAAACTGGATCAATAAGAGATGATCCTTACTGGACCTCTAGTGAGAACAGTTTAGAACTGATAAAGCTATCCAGTATAAATAAAGTTAGTTTAGTTTACGTTTCCTCCTGTAGTAACACTGGATCAATAAGGGATATAGCTCTTACATGGACCTTTAGGAAGAACAGTTTAGACATCGTAGTTTAGTTTCTTTTGAGCACTTTTATTTTAATCAGTGTAATCAGTGTTATATCTGAAGAGACGGAATATATATACATGCCCACGTTCAATTTAATAAAACCACCGCCATCGGCGAACCTTTTATATTATTATTACTAAAAATAAATCCAATGCCAATCTATTTTTATTGAAACAGAAAACAATTTCTTTTCGAAGTTATGATTAAAGAATATTAGTTTACATTGTCAATTACGAGGTTATGCCAGCCATGTATAAAACCAGACATATTACAGAAAAGGCCTAATTATCGCGAGCAGCGTAGTTGACAACTAAAATAACGAAGAAATAGTTTGGCCTTGAGAGAAAGATGAATGGTGTTCACGCTCTGTGTGTTTCTTTGCTTCTTCTTGGTGTATTTCAAGTGAAGTATGGTGAAGCGTGGTGGAAGGATAATGGAGCCGATGGTAATGAGGTTAGTAAAATCGTTTAATTTTTAAGAAAATTTCTCCTTTACAACTTTAACGGAATTTCAGAAACCGATCAGTAAGTTCAGTGTATGTGCTTACTCTTCTCTCTAGAGGCCCAGTAAGGGACTTATTGGTTGACGAGACGAGAGATAAAACACTACATTAGGGCACAAAATACAATCTAACAAAAACGATTGTCAGAAAAATCTTCGGTGTTAGTCTGACACAGCTGTAACTAACAAACATTCATTGTTTCGAAGAAAGCTCATCTTTAAATATAACAAATTCTTGATATCTTTTTTCAGGGGGAATGCCCAAATTATAAGGTGGACAAAGCATGCAGTTTGGATAGCGATTGCAAAGGAGGATGTGACAAAATTGATCTTACATGTCATAATGAAATATGTACTTCTGAACTGAATGTGGACTGATTGGAGAGACTTGCTGGCTATGTACTGATATATTATATCTCACTATCTAAAATATATTAATGTAAGGAGAAAAGAAAATAAAGCTTTGATTGAAACGCAATATATATTGTCTAGCTAGTCACGATCACAAATACTGCCACATGTCGAGTTTGTTCTGAATATTAAGAGGCGAGCTGCTGAATTTTTACAAAATATATTTTGAGGGTAAGTTCTTAAATTATTGATAAAAAATCAAGGTAACGAAAAAGCGAAAGGACTTAACGAGACTAAAGCGAAAATATATTTAAAGCCTGCTTTAAAACGGTTATTAGCCCATTGGCATTGAGCCTGCCACGCAGGCTAAACGGTTACATGTTGTCAAATATAATTTGGGTTATATTTCGTTCTAAAATGTTATCTGAATGCGCATGTGATCAAGAATTTCCTGGGGGTTCGGAACTCGGAAGTGGGGTATAGTCCTCTCCTACTCAATAAAAATTCAATAAAAAATTCTTCCGAAAAACATGTAGCAGACTAAAATATTTGTAGAAATCCCTGATTCAAAAACACTTTAAATTTTATAAACACACAAAGAAAGGAAAAAAGAAAAACATGCCAAACACGCAAAAAAGAAAAAAATTCTTGACTCGAGTCCACGATGCTATGCAAAGAGTATGTAGTTTTAATTAACCGTTTTTCATATTACATTCAGGAATATTAAATTCCCCCCTGCCAAAAAGGTGTTAATTGCAGCAGACAAAACATTCATGATTATATTATTGACTATTGTATCGTTGGCTTTCTTTTGTAAGAGTTTTACACAGCGTGCCTGTTGCTAAAACTAAACTAAACTAACTTTATTTATACTGGATAGCTCTATCAGTTCTAAACTGTTCTCCCTAGAGGTCCAGTAAGGATCATCTCTTATATATTGATCCAGTGTTACAACAGGAGGAAACTTAAACTAAACTAATTTTATTTATACTGGATAGCTCTATCAGTTCTAAACTGTTCT